CTCTTATCAAGGTGCAAGCCCATGGTTTTTCTGCAGAAGAAGAATGCAGTAGAAAGATGCATATACAGTGGTGCCTCATATAACGTACGCCTCGAATAACAGATGCTGTGAACAATGGATTTTCTGTTTGGCCATTATGTGACTTGGGCAACAGACTGGCTGCAAACAACGGACTTTCCATTTGGCAGTTACGTGAGGCAAACAACAAAGTTTCTGCAGACAAGTGCGAATGATGTTTCCACTCTTTTGCCATTGCCAATGACAATCTGCTATTTTTATAATATATTAGTATTATTAGAATATACAGTAGAGCATCGTTTATCCGAATCAATTGGGGACTGGGGTTGTTCGGATAACTTATTTTTCGGATAACTGATTATGTACAAAAAAATATATTAACCCATCCCATGTTAAAATTTTTCTCTGTTGCGTGTCGCTTTGCGTTGAATTTTCGTCGATGTTAAGCGTAACAAAAACTTTTTAAAATAATAATCGTGGCTATCGTATCGTTAAAAATTATTTTTTTACTTTGTACAAACAAAATAAATATATTGAAAAATATAAAAACCAAAAAAATATACTTTAGAAGTCGATCTAGTATCAAAAACGTTCGATTCAGCAGGACATACAATCCTCAGAAAAACACCACACAAAAGTGCCAGTGCTGCCAGCTAAAACACACACACCAACCAAAAAAATATTGGACTAGCCCAAGATATAGCCAAAGATTGCAGCACCACAGCACTAGCAAAAATTTAAATTTGCCGACTGGAATGCTTTCAGATAACCGACTTTTGGATAAACGACGCTCTACTGTATTATTATTATATCTGAAGTACAGAGCTCTCATTGGGATTCGGCTTGCTCCCTTGTTTATTATGTACATCACCTCAGTGCAGGGTATTTACATTTATTCAAGTCTTGTGCAAATCATGGCTTCTAAAAAAACAGAAAGGTGATTTCAATTGAAACAAAGCAAGACATCATCAGAAGGAGTGAAAGTTGACACACAGTTCCTTGTCAAATGGGGAGAGGTTCAGGAGTTTACCAACACTCATTATCCAAACACAGCTGAGGCCAACAGGATCAATGATCTCTACAATGACACCCTTGTCCATCATTTCCGACAGGTGTTGAAGAAGAGAGAGAAACAGACCACCTTGGACATGTTTTTCAAGAAGCCAGCTGCCAAAGGAGATGACCCTGCAAGCTCCGGTAGCCTCTCCTGAATCTGACTCCGATTAAAAAACAATAAAAAGAGACTTGCTGCAATGTGTAAAAAGTCTGTATCTGTATGAATGTGTAAAGAAAGTGTTCCTCCACCTCCTCCTCACAACATCTGACTACCAGGCATAATTGTGACTGCTTCATTTTCATTTATTTTATGGTATAGTATGGTTATTTTATGCTGTGGAATGAATTATATGTTTTAACATGTATTTCTATGAGAAAATGCATTTCGTATAATGGACTTTTCACTTAACAGATGTGCACCTAGAACGGATTAAGTACAAGGCACCACTGTAATTGAAGGTTTCCCAATTTCATCATTTATAATAGCAAAATAATTATTTTGATAAATAAACTTAGTAAATTTTTCTAATAATATCATTAAATTACTCTTGTAAATTGTAATTCTGTTCTCCAGAAGACAGATTAAATGCTATGAAATTTCTTTTAATACAGAAATAAATTTTTTATTTTATTTTATACTATTTTTGTACATTGTATTATGTTGTTGACTTTCTTAATTGCTTGGCACATGAAATCCAACTTACTATGAGTTGCCTAAACAAGAGACAGAGAATGATGCCTAAAATTATGTTAAATTATGAGATCCAGATTGGATTCAAACTGCATTCTTGATTAATCCATTGCAGTATATAAAAAAGCTATACAGTGCATAGCCATCTCACTTACTTGAAAATATTAAAATATCAAAGTGCTGACAGTGTGCATTGAAAGATTCTGAAGTCTGTATTTAAAATTCGACAATTATTTTAGAGCATCTTATATCCAAGAGGTTTTTGACAAAGTGGCATCAACATAAGGCATAAACCTAATGGTTATAGGAGAGTCAGCTTTGATCTCATTCAAAACACATGCAGACACAATCATGAGTAGTATGAATTGGGATATCATTATTACACATGCAGGCCAGCTGTTGTGGATTGGGTTCAAATTATGACAATGTGCAAAGTGCCCCTTATGGTTTCACACCACGAGACTGAAGGGTTGACATCACGTTGGCAATGACCAAGTCAACAGGATTGACACCACTGTGTCTTTAAGGACAGACAGAAACATCAATGGCTGTTTGTTTTGTGTGAGCGGTTGCATGTGTAGGTGTTCAGATTCAGGATGGAGATGGATTAGGCGAAAGAAGTGCACTCTACAACTCTATTATAAAAACAATGCCCATTTATTTATCATAAGATGGCTGAAAATAGGCTAATTACAATTGAAAGGTTAAACATTAGTTATTGGTGATCACGCTATATATTATAACTATTGGCTATCCCTTTGTATATTATATAAAGCTAGTATATTATATTTAAAGGCTATTATAATTATCCTGGCAAGTCCTAGTCTTGAGAGAGAGTTTACATAGAATTGCAGGCAGATCTTTATAAACCTTGTAGAGAATCTGAGGATGTTCCTTGTTGCCGATTGGTTTGATGACTCAGAATATCAATGGAAGGCTCTTGATAAATAGATTGTTCAGGTAACAGAAGCATCTTTGGGAGAGATATCCAACATGTGTAAGGTATTCAAGTGTGGTAAAGTCGATGAGTGTAAAGTATCTGAGCTCTAGTACAATTCCAGAGAGGGAAAACTTTTGATGACAATGGTGATGGAATGAACTCTCTGTCGTCATCAGACATTGCCTTTTATTTGAGGGTCCTCCCCTCTTTCTCCTATTGCCCTTTTATGATAAAGTAAATCTCTACATCCAATAGCAATTTATTTGTTAGGTTCCTGGTGACACATTTGATGAAGGAACACCTAGAAAAGGAAGTGACTCCGGGGCAAAAGATACAATCATATCCTTTGCATTTAATAATCATGGGAAAAGTTTTAACATTTTTTTTTATTAATCAACAAAAATTTTATTCAAAAAATTTTGTTGGGTCTGGGCACTCACAAAATTATATTTAGGATAAGGGCATAAGAGCATGTGTGCTCCCTGTTGGTTTTTGGAGAAAAATCTTTATCAATCATTTCATACACTCACAAATCCTAATTTTACACATCTTTTTTCTTTAAATTAGTTTTAAAAATTGGTAATCTGTCTGTACAGAGATATAAGAATGTAAAGTGACAATATAATTATTTGTATTATTGTATTTCTCCCCACTGATTAGGTCTACCTATAATAGATATAAATCTGGTCATCCCTATAGCTATATATGTGTTAGTGATTTGTGTTCAGTATTCAATTATAAGAAAAATCCATTCATATGCAATAGCTATGTAACTGAAGTCTTGTGATCCCTTAAAAGTTTAGTTTGCTTTCTTGCTGAAATTAATTTTTTTAATCTCCAATTTAATTTGATAATACACTGCTGGCCATTAAAATTGCTATATCACGAAGGCTGCACGCAACAAATGTGAAATTTGCATGAAAGGTACAGCATGATGGTGCTCTGTATCTCAAGATTATCTATCAATTTGATCATGTCTTCCTTTCATTATACTGTATGTATAAAATAAATATGATTCTGCTCTTTCCTTCCTGGTGTAGTAATTTTAATGACCATCAGTGTAAATAAAGCATCATTGTTAAGATTTGAATAGAAGTTTGGACTTTGAAAAACATGATAATTCCAAAATACTTTTAATGTGAAAAAATTAACAATAATACTTTATAAACTTCTGCTAAAAAATAAAATATTTATTTGTGACTAAATTGTAAGTAGGCTAAGTTTTATTAATTCATGATGTTTTACATTATAGCAAATTTATACGTTGTTGTATATATAATGTTAATAGATATATAATTTAATTAAAATAATGATTGATTGCTTTACACTTTACAATATTAAAATAAACAAGATCAATATGTCAAAAACTCTTACAAAAAGACACTTTTTCTCTTTTCAGCAGTATTTTAATGCACATTAACATTTTTGGCTTTATAAAGAAATCACAAGAAACTGAGGAAGAACTTGTAAATAAATAAAAATTCACACCTTAAATTACTCTGACAAGATTATCAGCACAAAACCTTTCTCACTAATTTCTAGCCGTATTAACAGGAGTACAAACGAGAAAGGTTTTGTGCTGATAATCTTAGAAATAGTTCTAGCTACATATGCATAGTACTCTGACAAGCACAATTTAATGAAAACAACTGATGAACATCCATTAACTGGATTGAAAATGTTGGGGTTTCATTAAATTGTACCTGCTGGAGTAATTTAAGGTGAGGATTTTTATTTTTAGCCTATTTGATAGGCTTTCATCTGGTTTCACAATCTAAATGTGGAATTATAGATTTCATGTTTAGATTGGATTAAATCAGTGTTTCTCAACCTCTAACGAATCATCGCCCCCTTCAACGTAGTATCACCCCTTCAGTAAAACTATTACGTAGTATTGCCCCGTTCACTACAAAATACTGATGCCGCGGGCAGAGACTAACGCCAAATTTGTACTGCATTGAATAGACTAGTGACTAGTATAATGTTTTTGTTTAATTATTGTACGATATAATGAATAAAATATCTAATTATTCTTAATATAATGTTTCACTATATCGCCCAGAAGATTATATTTTGGGGGGCGAAAAACAAATTGTTACTAATCGCCCCCTCAGCATAGAAAAACGCCCACATGGGGCGATATCGCCCCCGTTGAGAAACACTGGATTAAATTAAGTAGGCTGAAAATTTGCATTAAAATACTACTGGAAAGAGAAAAGTTGTCTTTTGTTTGAGTTTATGAATATAATGACAGTTTTAGGATTACTGATTGATTTTTGACATTTATTTTTACAGAAGAATCAAGACAAAAATTAGATTAGAAAGCACATTCAGATTAAAAGGTCCTCATTAACTGAAAAGTCATATTCACAATGAATTTTGAGATAATTATCTGACCATAAGATTGGAATTGCTAAGATGAATTGAGTGAATGGAAATCTAGCTTTATTATATTGTGAGTATAAAAAATTCAAATTTTACATTTTTTCTATATTCAAATATTTTTAAAAATTCTTTTGTGTTGTTCATTCTATCATCTGTTTTCATGTGGGAATGAATTAAAACTTATATCAGGCTCCTGTGTGATTTTGGGATTTTGGAATTCAATTCAAAAGCTTTGCTTTTCCTATTGCTGTTCTTCTTTACTCTTGACAATACACATGAACCATTCAAATGACCAGATTATGTTTTTAAACACGAGGCTGAGAATATGGTAAAAAATGCAAATACACAGTTGACAAAAATTATTGCAAAAATGCAAAGAATCCTTCACTCGTGCATAAAGGATTTTTGAAGCAGTGAAAAATGAATAAAAACCTCGTCTTATATGTGAATAAATACAGTAACTTACCTCTGTATATACAGTCGACCCCCCCCCCTATAATTACAGTCCCTATAATTACGATTCCTATAAAACTACGAAAAAATATACGTATTTTGGAAATGTTGAGTCGGATTAGTGTAGAATCGATTAATTTTATGGAAGAAAACCTTTCAATCAGCCGTAGTCCGTAAACTTGACACGTGTCGGGCTGTGATTGGAACGACTTGTAAGAAATCGAATTCCTAATAAATTGGAACGTATCTATATCTTATAGGGGGGTCGACTGTAGGCCTATTTATAAGATCTATATCTGCAAAATCATTTTAATTGATAAATATACTTTTAGTTAATGATCATTTTAAAATTTCTATGAATAACGGAAGATTATCATTAAAGCTATGATAGTAGTATGAATATTGAACCTCCTTAATGATCCTCCTTAAACAAGTGAACTATAAGAATATTTTAGTTGTTTAGAATAATTTAAACAATAATGCTAATCAATTAATAAATCGTTTGTTTCAAATGTTTGTTACATTAATGATATACTTTGAAGTAACATTATGATTGCTATACGTTGAAGACAAAATGCTTCATTTTCAGATACTTTCATGTAACATGATTAAATGAACAGACTATGTAGTAAAACTTATTTCTTATAAAATTTTGATTAAGAGACAAATTTATATTAGTTTAGTATTTAACATCATGCAATTAAAATGTTCAAATTATATTTTAGTATTTATACTGGTGATCTAAAGCAGTGGTGTCAAACTATTTTCATTTCTGACCCCCCCATTTTGTGTAAAATTTTGTCGCAACCCTTGGATAGACAGTATACTTTTTTTTAATTGTCAACGTAGTTAAAGTGAAATTCTTCTGGAACTTGTGTTTATGTTTCTGCCTTATTAAGAGGGCTGAATAAAACACACAATTTTATGAAACAATGGTTTTATTTATGCATATGGGTATAAATATTTATTTAATGAATAATACTTAAAATAATTTTACATCANAACTATTTTCATTTCTGACCCCCCCATTTTGTGTAAAATTTTGTCGTGATCCCTGGATAGACAGTAGACATTTTTTTAATCGTCAATGTAGTTAAAGTGAGATTCTTTCTGGGATTTGCACTTATGTTTCTGTCTTATTAGAGGTCTGAATAAAACACACAATTTTATGAAACAATGGTTTTATTTATGCATATGGGTATAAATATTTATTTAATGAATAATACTTAAAATAATTTTACATCATAAGAATTCAATGTGAGGTGGTATGCACTTTTAGAGAGCTCGTGATTGCTTCTGTTCAGATTTTTATTGGAAATTGCAAGCTGTAAGTCATCTTCTATGTGTATAAGGAGAAATACAGACAATTGTTTTTGTAAAAAATATAGCTCTATTTTTATAAATAATATAATTTCATTTCACTGTTTTACTAATACCTGATACTTGTTGAAGATAATCCTTATATTTTTTATTGTCAAATAAATTTCTTTAAATTTGGTGACCCCAAAAAATTTTTGTGTGACCCCCCCTCTGGAGATCGTGACCCATGGTTTGTGCACCACTGATCTAAAGTATTGCATGCCTGCTGAATGTATACAAATTATCAAGAATGTTAATAATGTAGATGAAACCTATGATGGGGATAATATGTTGGTAATGAATAATGATAAATATAGATAAAAAATAAGAACTAAAAGTTTGGATTACTACAATTTATTCTTATGTGACAGATATATATGATGCAATGCTTGGAAATTTAGGAACCTTGTATTTAGGTTTTATTAGAGAGGTTGAGGCGCACGTTTTAAACGTGTAAACGTGTACGTGTGGCGTTTGGCGCCGCTTTCCCATAAGCCTAAAAGTTTGGCGATGGTGTTTGGAATGTCGAGCGTGATTCCACTGACTATCCAAACACCATTGTCAAACTTTTAGGCTTACGGGAAAGCGGCGCCGAACGTCACACGTACACGTTTACACGTTTAAAACGTGCGCCTCAACCTCTCTATTATAACTAGGTTTTGTGTAATTTTATATTTTGTAAGTAGCCATGTTCTGTGGAAATTCAGCCCTTGGTAGTTCATATTCTCCTGAAGAAGTGTGAAACAAAGGATGCATTGCCTGGTGAAGCAACTTTAATACACTTGGAAAAGCAAGCCAGTAACAGACTGTTTCAAATGAAACAAGCTACATCATTGGTTTGCTTATCCATCTGTATTAAAGCTGCTTTACTAAGCAATACATTCAAAGATTTGGAGTGGAAACTAAGAAAAAGGGTCAGTTTGGTTTGGACTAAGGAGTGATATATATGTGTGAAGAAATATGGACCAAAAGAGAGATGTTGATTCTAACTGTGAAGAAATGGACAGAAAAAAACCAAAGAAAGAAGTGAACATTAATTGTTATTTGGTTGAAAATTAAGTGTAAAATCTGTTGTGTTATTGTTTTGTTCATTGTGGAGTTGGTTTTTGCTGTATTGGCATGCTGTTTTATTTTGTACATATTAAATTTGTATTTCTGTAAGTTTTTTGTAATACTTTTGTTCCCTCAATTACTGAGTATTCATTCCCTTTTTGATATTTGAATACATATTAATCTCATTTTTCTGATGGTGTTTTATTCCATTGCGTTGTTTTTAAACAAGAAAAATTAAACAAGAAACAAGGAAGACTAATAATATAATGTAATATATACAGGGTGTTTTTTTTAAGCTGACGGTACTCAGAGATCCGTAGAGCAATCTAACAGCCGGACTGTCACCAAACTTGGGAGAGTGACTAAGGACGACATGGGAAAGAGATTCTGCAAAGAAAAAAGTAGTACTCAAATTCGCCGATAGGAGTGGATTTGGCGCTGCTGTAGCAAAACAGCTAAGAATTTGCAAAAAACCCAGTTGCAATTAATGAACACACAAATGAATAATTCGTGACAGAGGTATGTTCATCACAGTTTGAGAAATGTTGTCCTTCAAGGTCATCAAGTTGGGGACACCACCAAGATAGACCTTGGACTTTAAGTAACCCCACAGGAAAAAGTCACATGGGGTTAGATCTGTGGGTTAGAACCTTCAATGAGTGCAATCGCAACATCACTAACTGTCTGTGCAGACACCGGTTTTTGCCCTCTACCAGGCCGAACTGCTAAGGATACTGTCTCTTCAAATTTCTTTATCAAGTCTTTCAATGCATTAATTGATAGAGGACCTTTGCGCAGGTTGTTACGGGTTCTAAACTCATGAAGAGTGCCAGGTGCGCTCGATTGGTTAAGATAATAAAGTTTCACAAGCAATGCATGCTGAGGTAACGAAAGATGCATGTTGAACTCTGCTGAAGTTCAGAATGTGCTTTGGACTTTGGTCCTTGTCTTTTAAGCTCAAATTAGGCGGCGCTGCTGTTGACCACGTCATTGTGAATTTGGATTTTGAGGTGTTACTAGCGCATTATGCAAATTCTTAGCTGTTTTTGCTACAGCAGTGCCAAATCCACCCCTACTGGCGAATTTGGGTACTACTTTTTTCTTTGTGGAATCTCTTTCCCATGTTGTCCTTAGTCACTCTCCCAAGTTTGGTGACAGTCCGGCTGTTAGATTGCTCTACGGATGTCTCTGAGTACCGTCAGTTTAAAAAAACACCCTGTATATATTTCTGGGTCACCCATGCCCATCCATTGCAATAGATTGCAGGGAACAGAACCAAAAAGAAAAAAGATAATACTATTGAATATTCAGTAGTACAGTAGACCCCCCTATAACAAGGTAGATACATTCCATTTTATATGAATTCTGTGTTTTACGAGTCATTTAAATACATGAGCCAATCACAGCCTGGCACTTGTGCAGTTTAGGGACTATGGCTGTTTGAAAGGTTTCTTCCATAAAATTAATCGATTCTAGACTAATTTGACTCAACATTTCCAAATCATGTATAATTTTTGGGAATAATCCATNAATAAACAAAAAATTGCAGGATTACTTACCGAGTGTGCACCGTTCGACCACGCCATTGCTTAAGCTTGTTTTCGTCGCGGAGCGGCGCATCGAACGGCGAGCGCGTGTTTTCTGATAAGTTATTTTTCTGCGAAAAATTCGCTGAACTTTGGAGACATCATTAATATAAATATAATTTTTATGGCCATTAAATAATAAATGATTTTTAGCAGGTCCGCTGCTCGTTTAAACTCAACAGTGTGCAATATCCACTATTGGTCTAGATTCAACAATCCTGTCGCAACACAAGCCAGCAGTGATGTTTTACTGTATTACACTAATCTCTTTTAGCGTGTTTATACGAATACAATTGCAATTTTTTCGCCATGTTATACGAATCTGTATTATATGAACCTGTGTTATAGGGGGTCTACTGTATTATCTTATTTATTTTTGGCTCTGTTCCCTGTAATCTATTGCAATGGATGGGCATGGGTGACTCAGAAATGCCTATTGCTGAAGGAGCAAACTACTTATTTATTTATTTATTATTTATTAGCACAATGTGCAGCCTAGCTCTGCGTAAGCACTGCGAAGTGAGTAAACTACTGCTTGATGATATAGTTGGAACTCAAAATCCTTTGCTTCCTGTAGTAAAATGATTTTGGAAATAATTCTCATGTATTAAATTCTGCC